CTCGGGTGAGAACCCTTGGCTCTCGGCCGCCTGGCGCCAGTTAGCCGGGCCCCTGGCCGACCCGACCTGGCACCAGGTTCGCCTCGACCAGTGCGCTTTGAACCTCAGGAGCGCTGCAGGCGGACTTCACCTCGAGCCGACGCGCATTGTCTCGACCTCCGAGGACATCGCGGGCGCACTCAACCTCCGCTGCAGTGGCGACCACGTGCGCGACCTTGTTGAGGGCAAGGCGGTCACCAAGCGCAGCGAGTCATATTCCCAGGAAATGGCTGAGCTGGTCGCCAGTGCGGTGCTGCAGCGGGTTCGGAGGAGTCGCAGAGCCGGAGACGAGGAGCACGGAGGCGGGGGGGGGGGCGACGATCAGCACGGAGATGGCAGAGCATTGAGAGGCGAGGTAGGAGCAGAGGAGTCCACGCGTGCGGGCGAGATCCTCATGGAGGGGGTCTCAAAATGGGCTGAGGATGTCGCGGCCAGGGGCTACTACGATTTTCTTCATGACCACCCCGAGTACGAGGCGGATCAGGTCAAGGAGGTTGTGAGGAGAGGAGATGCAGTGCTGGGGGAGTCTGGGTCGCAAGAGAGAAGGCGATCATCGCGCTACGAGGGGTCTGGTGGGAGAGGCATGGCTATCACCTGAGGGGGCATCTTCGAGAATAACCTAGAGCCGCTGGCGGAGGGCGCGTTGCTGGAGCACGCCCGGAAGGTGGCCATGGAGGGGGCGAGGACGAGGTTTAGGGGCGCGCCGACGCGCCTGAAGGCGCTACCACATCCGAGAGCGAAGGATCACCTCGACGAGGGCATGCATGCCCTGTGGAAGGATGCTGCAAAGGGCCGAGTACTGCTGTGCACCAACGTCCACGAGCACTTACTCAGTAAGGTGGTGAGTGCGCCCATGGCGAGGGTGCCCAAGCAGAACCCGGACCGCACTATGAGCGACAAGGGCCGCCTCATTTGGGACGGCACTGTGCCGAACCAGAGCTGCCCCCAGGAGGATCACCCCCCCGCGGACCAGCCGAGGCATGAGGATCTTGCGCGCATCATCCTGCGGTGGAAGGCCAGGATGCCGGGGGTGGACATTGTCTTGGCCAAGAAGGACGTCAATGACGCCTTCAGGTGGGTGGTGATGCACGAGATGGACGCGTGCATCTTCGGGGCGGACCTGGAGGGAGGTAAATGGGGCTTGGCTGCGCTGATCACGGCGGTGTACATGGTCCTGACGTTCGGCTGGACGGGCAGCCCAGGCGAGTGGATGATCTGGGCGTGGGTGGCGAAGTGCTACCACGCGGCCTACCGCCCCGCGGACGCGAGGTGGGACGATGACGTCCTTTTCCACAGCTCTTTCCTCATGGACGAGCAGGTGCTCGTTGAGCCCGATATTGATAATCGGGCGGCCCAGAGCGGCGACGCGGCGCTAGAAGGGATCATGGCATGTCTGGGCGAGGAGGCGATCGACGATGAGAAAGATCTTGAGGGGGGAGGCTGGGAGACGTCCAAGATTGCCGGGGCCTCCTGCATCGTACCCGCGAGGGCACAATCGAGATGCCGGAGCCCAAGACCCAGAAGGCAGCTTATCTCTTGGCAGACCCCACCCTGGACTACGGCCAGCAGAACACTCCCTGGAACTTCCTGGAGGTCTGCAGGGGCGACCAGAAGTACTGCTGTCTCGTCATGCCTGCCATGCGATGTCTGGTGAGTGCGACCGACGCCCTGATGCGGGGTCGCCAGAGGAGGCTGGCCGGACCCAAGGGGGGCGACCAGCAGGTTCGCCTGGTGCGGGAGGACTTTTGGCAGGCAGCGGAGGTGGCACGGGGTCTCACGTCGGACCGCGCCAAGTGGAGCTCTCGCTTCACGGGAGCGTTGCCGGGCGTCCTCTCCATCAACGAGAATTTGGCGCTTCCCGGTTGGCAGTGCCGCGTGATCTGGGCGACGGGCGATGCCACCCCCCAGCAGATCGCCACGGTCGACTCGGTGAACTCCAAGTGTGCCTCCCATGCGGCACCTGAGTTCATACAGGCGCTGCAGGAGGCGGTGGGTATAGAAGAAGATGAGGAGGCCATCATCGCCATCGCCGAGTTCATGAACCTCGTGACGTTCGCGGTCAAGGCCGGCGCGGAGGGCTGGTGGGAGAGGGGCGTGGTGATGTATATGGCGGGGACAACTACAACGTCCACTGCTGGCTGCAGAATCGCAGGGCCAAGAATCGCTATGCCAGTTTCCTGATCATGGTGGTCACGTGCCTCGAAGCAGTATGCGGCTACGAGGTGGCGAGCGCCTACTTCCGCGCGTGTCACAACGTCACGGCGGACACGTTCTCTAGGGTCGAGGATGAGGAGGCGAAGGAGCTTGCGGAATCCAGGGGCCTGGAGGTTGTCAGCCTGCGGGGCAGTTGGGCAGAGCACTTCGAACTCGGCTGGCTGCGCCGGGCGCTCGTCTGGGAAGGACAGGGCGATGCGGACGCCAGGGTTGCCAAGCAGCTTGCGGCAGCTCGGCGTGAGCCGCGCCGCCCAAGGACTCTGCAGTTGACGCCTGGCAGGGCTGTGACTCTCGTTGAGCGGCGGGGGTCCACAGGTGCCCTGTGCAAGGCGGGGGCCCGGCGGGGGGCAGTCGTCTGGATGCTGGCGGCGCCGGGGGGCCCGGGCGCCGGGCACTTCATTTGGCCCCCATGCGTCGCCGCCTGGGATGCGGGAGGCCCGGGTGGGGCGGATGTTGTGACCGCGAGCCTGACCAGCGATGGGGGGAGGAAGCTCGGCGCTGGTCGGAGTTCGTCGTCCAGGTGGGAGCGGAGGTCGCGGTTGCAGATGCGCCAGACCCAGCGGAGCTGGGGCCAGCCGTGCATCGGCTCAAAGGAGCAGGCTACGGCTGGGACGAGGTAGAGGTATGCCGCGCCCGGCTGGGCGACCCCGTTGCGAGGCAGCGGCGCGTAGTTGTGGCGGAGGGGAGGCTGTGAGCATAGGCTAGGAGTTCGTCGAGCCCACGAGCATTCGCTCGTGCGTGGGCAGGCCGAGCCCGAGTGTCGTCAGGCTGAGCAGCGACGACGGCGAACTGGTCCTCGACCCGCGCATCCCCAAGCGAGGGGCCCGGAGGGGGCCCGGCCTTACGGCCACTGGCATCCAAAGGGAGGAGGAGCAAAGGAGCTGGCGTTCACCGTGGACGGGCCGTCGCCGAGCATCAGGAGTGCAGCCGTGTCTGCCAAGCCAGGGGGGCGCATCCTTGTCCATGATGCACGGGGTCCTCTTCCGGGGGTATGGCAGCTGGGCGGTGGGGACATCTGGATGCTCACGTGAGGGGCCCCAGCGATCTTTCGCAGAGCGGTTGAGGAAGGGACCCCGCAGGACTTCCTTGTGGCATGGGGCCTCCGCGCGGCCACCCCGCAACTTGCAGATGCCATGGTCGAGGAGGCACTGGCCCAGCTGGGCCAAGTGAGGCAGAGGCGAGATTCGGCAAAGACGGGGGTCTGCTCGCTGGCCAGAGAGGATGCGTCGTGGGAGCGGCTGCAAGTGCGGCTGCGAGCGCGCAGGGGATGCCCACTGGACCCAAAGGGGAGGGTTGCGGCCATCAAGGGGGCGGACCCCCAGGCAAGTGCGGCATGATCCCTGACGACGACGAGAGTGGCCAGAGGCGAGCGCAGAGCTTGCTGGAGGACCCGTACCCAGACTTGATCCTGTTGCGAGCGGGGAGAGACCCCGATGGAGGTCCGCCGTGCTGGAATGGATGCGGGAGGAGCTGCGCTGACCTGGGCCACGGCTGGGGCTGCTGCTGCTGCAGGACGCGCAGGGGCACCGACGGGGCCAGCCACGGGCCGGGGTGCGAAGCGTGGCATGAGGAGCTCCGGAGGCGCCAGTGCGAGGCAGGCCATCGCCCGCCCGCTGGGGCGGCGTCGGGCAATGGAGGCTGTCAAGGAGGTTCGGCCGCGGGCGGAGGGTCAGCAGCTCCCGGGCCAGGCAGTGGCATAGGAGGAGGTGCCGAGGAGCGCGTGGTGCCGTTCCCAGGGGGGGGGGCCCGACGCCCGGTACGCCTGGTGCGAAAACTGCGGAGTGCAGGGCGATGGGGCGGGATATGGGGTGCCCGATGTGCAACCGGGCCTACCCCATCTCGATGGCCCAGGACCGCGCGAGAACCCGGGAGGAGACAGTGCCGCCAGTGCTCCAGCCAGCGCGGGCGCCTCGTTCACCAGGGCGGTGCCTAACGATTTCCAGGGGGGCGATCCGTCCCCGCCCACCGTCGCGCAGCCTATCAGCTTGCCCAAGGCGCCGCCGTTCGCGGTGCCGTTCTGCTACGGCATAGAGGCGGACACTAACGCGGCGGAGTGCAACGTGAGCAACGTGTCGTACGTCTGCATCGGCCAGGGCCGTGAGGGGCGAGACTTCAGGGACACCCAGTGGCCAGAGGAGCTCAGCTACGAGGCGACGGAAGGCGAGGCCCGCGCTAGGCGGAGGAGGACCAACCCAGAGGAGGCCGGTGTCTGCCATATGGAAGGTTGCGGGAGGAGGCTGCCGGAGCTGTCGACCCCAGTGTTCTATTGCTGCAGGACGTGCTGGTGCACCCTGGGGCGCAGTCGCGGACCGGCGTGCGAAGCTCGGCACGCGCGGAGTGGCGCGGGAAGTGGAGCCAGCGCCATGTCTTAACCTGGGGTGTCCCTACTTGGAGCACAGCGACCCGAGGCAGCTTTGGAAGCGGGGTTACTGTCGCGACAAATGCGGCGGACGGCACAACGAACAGGACTGGGCAGAGGGCGGCGCCAACCACTACAAGTACTTCGAGAAGGCGCCACGCGGCCAGAATGAGGATGAGCAGCCGAGCGGGGGCGGCGGAGGCGGAGGCAGCAGGCCCCGTCCGGGGACGTGGCCGCTGTGATCGAGGCCGCCGCGTCTGCCGCCGCCGTTGCTTCGGGGGGCAGCGGATCGTCGCCAGAGTGCCCACCCCCATCGCTGGATGAACTCAAGAAGAGGGAGAGAGAGGCGGAGGTTCGCGTCAAGGCTTCTCCCCCTCCAGACGTCGAGGCGGCACCGAGGGCCGCTCGCAAGAACAGGCCGGGCGAGCGCGCCAGGCTGACGGCGAGGATGCTGCCGCCGACCGTCAAGGAGGAGATATGCTCCGAGGGTGAGGGCGCGAAGGAATCAGCGGGTTCGGCGTCGGCCCGCGATGGTCGCAAGAGAGAGGCCAGGAGCGATGCGCGCGAGGCAGTAGAGCGTATGCACAAGAGGCTTTCGGAGCGAGTTGAGGGTCGACCTGCGTCGGAGCTGGAGGAGATCGACGGGGGCCACCAGCGAGCCCTGTCCGAGGCCGAGCGCGCCCTGAAGGAGGCCTGGGCCCTCAAGGCGCGGATCCGAGAGGTGCGCGGCAGGGGGCATAATGTCATGCGGGAGCTGAGCCCCGCCGAGGGGCAGGAGAGGTCGAGGTCATCGGAGGAGAGCAGGCGCCCCCCGAGCCCTAGGCGGAAGGTGCGGTCTGCGCCGCCGAGGCCTACGCGGGGGCCCGCTGCCGGCGCCCATGCCCCGGGGGAGGGCGTCTTCCCGCAGCCCGCTCAGGAGGGGCGTCGCCATCGGGGGCGCGGGGGAGGCAGGTGCGACAGCGGCGAGCTCAGCCGTGCCAGGGTCCTCAGGGGGCCACCAGGGTGTCAGTCTAGCGGTCAGTAATGAGGCCATGATGGCGGAGCTGCGGGCGCAGGCCATCAAGATCCAGCGCAGAGAGGGCGAGGCAGCCGAGGAGGCTCGGGAGAAGGAGGCTCGGCGCAGGCGGGCCCATGGCGAGGAGGGCCCGCGCGCAGCCCATGGGTCGGCCCCCAACGAGGGCATTGGGATCGACCCGCGCGCGGTGGCACGTCACCTGGCGGACGCGAGGGGCGCGGGCGGCGCCGGGCCTGGCCGGGCGGGGGTGCGTGCGCATCTCGAGACCGCGGCGACAGGATCAGGCCAGCGCTCCGACTACGAGACGGGCCGCAGGCGCCGAGTTGGAGGAGGAGATGACCGCAGGAGCGGAAGTCTCGAGCAGGCATAGGCAGAGGAGGAGCTGGAAACACTCGCGCGGGTGTGGGGCTACCCGGGCCAGAGGGGCGGGTGGCTCGATTGGGCTCTGGCGGCGCTGGGCGCTCGCAAGGCTGGCGCGTCCACGAGGAAGGGCAAGAGGAGCAGCAGCGCGGGTCATGCCCCCTACGAGAACAAGCCGCCCAACATTCTGGGCCCGGACGCTGCGCGGTCCAGCGCTCGCCCAGGCGACCTCGCCATGGCGGGCCTCAAAACGCGAGAGGACTGGGGGGGGGGGCAAGTTGGATCTCATCCTCGACAAGCTGGCCAGCTCCACCATCAAGTCGCACAGCCTGGGCTGGAGGTGGTGGACCCTCTTCTGCCGGACCAGAGGCGCCAACCCGCTGCGGGAGGTCGCATCCGCGAACAGGAGGGACGAGGAGGGGCTGCTGCTGGAGATTGTCATTCATCTTGCGCGCAGGGGCTGCAAGAAGGCAGGGGCCATCAAGCAGTGCCTGAGCTCGGTTCGGGCTCAGCATCTTGCCCTCGGCATGGGCGACCTCGCCGAGGGAGCTGGTAGACTCTGGATGGCGATTGACGGGCTTCGAAGGCGCGACGGCGACGTCAAGCGCAAGAAGCCTGTCACGCCACGCATGATGAGGTGGATCAGGGCGCGGCCCTATGGGCCATGGGCCGCTGTGGCCACGGGCAACTTCTTCCTGCTGAGGGCCAGCGAGTACGTCTCCGGCGACCAGAACGGCTACTCTGGGGGCAAAGGTCTCCGAGGCGCGGATGTGACCCCCAAGGCGTGGGGGGGGGGCGCGCGGGATTGGAAGGAAGCGAATGAGGTTGTGATCGAGATCAGGGCCAGCAAGACGGACCAGGACAATCGAGGGGAGCGGCGCAACCACTTCCGGGCCGAGATCCCACCAGGCGCGGAGAAGGACGAGCGCATCTGCGTGGTGGAGGCGCTGGAGATCTATGAGGGATGGGCGCGAGAGCGCTTTTCGGGGGCGCGTATGTATGATCCGCTCTTCGCCTATGACGACGCGCGTCTGGTCGCGGGGGCGGACGTCCAGCGCGCGGTGATGCAGTCGGCCGTAGCAGAGGGCATGGACCCGAACGACCTGGGCTCGCACAGCTTGAGGATCGGAGGAGCGTCAGCGCTGTATGCGGCATTCAAGGACACAGCGCTCGTGCTGCAGCGCTGGGGTAGGTGGAAGAGCGACGCCATTTAGGGGTACCCTTGGGAGGCGCGCGGCACGGCGGAAGAGTGGCGAGCTGCATGGCGGCCGCGGACATCGCAATGGTTTGAGGGCAGGACAGCCGCAGTAGCCTGGGGCTCGTGGCGCGTGGGCAGGTGTGGCCATAGGCCGCGAGCTAGAAGCGCAGGGGGGCGTCGAGGCCAGCGAGGCTGCGAGAGGAGCCCAGTGACGGGCTGCAGGAGGAGGGGGCGCAGAGGTAGGTCTGCGGGCAAGGCGGGACGGACACCGCCGGAGGCCTTGAGAGGGGCGGCGGGGGAGGGGTGAGGAGGGGCGAGTACCTCCGGAGACCCTGGCGGCAGCCTGCCCCGAGCGAGCCAGATCCCGACCGCCCCATGGCGCAGCGCCGGGTTGTTTAGGGGCGCTGGGCCAGAGCGGGGCCAGGCCCCCCCGCCAGTGCGAGCGGGGGCCCTCGAGGTGGGCCCCGCGGCTCGAGGTGCAGCGTGCACCGGGGCACTGAGGGGGTGAGGGCCGCTGCGCCTGGGAGGACGCACCGACCCCAGCTCGCGCCTCAGCGCAACGAGGCGCCGCGTGCCACGGAAAAAGGCGCCGAGGAGAGGGGGGGGAATAGGGGGGGATGTTGGCGGCCTGAGCGGCCCAAGCCCCATCGGGCTAAAGGCCGCCATCCGCCTGAGGTCGAGGGGCGGAGCTTTGGTGGGGAAACATGAACGTTCGTTAGAACATAAGGTTTCCCTGCCTGGCGTAGCCCCGCCCTTTCCCTCTGCTCTGCCTCTGCCTCCGTCTACTCCCGTCTCTCTCTCTCTCTCTCTCTCTCTCTCTCTCTCTCTCTCTCTCTCTCTCTCTCTCTCTCTCTCTCTCTCTCTCTCTCTCTCTCTCTCTCTCTCTCTCTCTCTCTCTCTCTCTCTCTCTATCTCTCTCTCTCTCTCTCTCTCTCTCTCTCTCTCTCTCTCTCTCTCCTCTCTCTCTCTCTCTTCTCTCTCTCTCTCTCTCTCTCTCTCTCTCTCTCTCTCTCTTTCTCTCATATATGTATATATATATATATATGTATATATAGATTTCTCTCTCTCTCTCTCTCTCTCTCTCTCTCTCTCTCTCTCTCTCTCTCTCTCTCTCTCTCTCTCTCTCTCTCTCTCTCTCTCTCTCTCTTCTCTCTCTCTCTCTCTCTATCTCTCTCTCTCTCTCTCTCTCTCTCTCTCTCTCTCTCTCTCTCTCTCTCTCTCTCTCTCTCTCTCTCTCTCTCTCTCTCTCTCTCTCTCTCCGTGCCATTTGCTCAAGGCGCTGCTCTGCAGTGCCAGGCTGTTTCTGGAGGCCCCGCCCACCCGCGCCAATGCAAAGCGGCGGGGCGGGGCCTCCTGCCGAGTTCCCTCGGCGCGCACTTGCCGCATCGCGGTCGGTGCGTCTCGTCGCCCCCCCCCCCCCCCCCCCCCCCGACGGAGAGGAAGGGGGGGGGGGATCTTGCCCACCCCTGGCGCGCCGCGGCGCCACCAGGGGGACGGGGGCCGCTGCGCCTGGGTGGACGCGCCGGCCTGAGCTCGCGCCTCAGCGCAACGAGGCGCCGCGCGCCACGGAAAAAGACGCCGAGGAGGAGGGGGGGGGAAAGGGGGGGATGTAGGGCGGCCTGAGCGGCCCAAGCCCCATAGGGCTAAAGGCCGCGATCCGCCCGAGGTCGAGGGGCGGAGCTTTGGGGGGGAAACGGGGGAGCAGGAGGAGGAGGAGGCGGAGGCGGTGGCGGAGGAGGAGGAGGAGGAGGATGGGGATGTGGAGGAGGAGGAGGAGGAGGAGGAGGAGGAGGAGGAGGGCTGCAGACCTCTTCTCGTGCGGAAGACATGGCGACGGTTTTTTGCTGTTTTCGTTTTGTCGTATTTGGCCTCCAGGCCATAGCTGAGCCCTGCGACCGTCGAACAGCGACCCAGCATGAAAAACGGATCCCAGGGGTGGGGTCCAGACCTCTGGTTGTCCACGTTGCGAAGAAATCAAGGCGTCGGAGATTGGGGATTGTGCGCGAACAAGAACCAGGGTGCAAACAAGGCGCATACTTTCATCAGAGCCTCGGCGCGCATAGATACGCATGGATGCACAGTCCGCTTCGCACCTGCAGGGTGTCGGTGTTTCTCCGAAGGGCTTTGGCGACCCGTCCTCCTCCTCCTCCATCTCCTCCTCCATCTCCTCCTCCTCCTCCTCCTCCCCCCGCATGTGCATGGCCGTCGGGGGCGCCCCGCAGTCAGACCCCCCGCCGCGGAACGCCGGCGAGCGCAGAATCCAGAGTTCGCTCGGAAAGGGGCAATAAGTAGTGAGCAGGCCCAACATGAGCATTGCTAAATGAGAGCGAGAGAGAGAAAGAGAGAAAGAGAGAGAGAGAGAGAGAGAGAGAGAGAGAACAGAGAGAGAGAGAGAGAGAGAACAGAGAGAGAGAGAGAGAGAGAGAGAGAGAGAGAGAGAAAGAAAGGAAAAAAGAGAGAGAGAAAAACAAACAAAACACGCTAGGTATAGAGGTACGCGGGCCCGCCAGACAGCTACAGCGCCCCGAGGAAGCGTTGTGGGAGGGCGTCTGGCCAAGGATAGTATCTAAGGTTCGTTTCACTTTTGCCCGCGCCCCCCCCCTCGCTGCTCTCTGCGCTGCTGTCTCCCCTCGCCCCCGTCGTCGTTCCTCCCCTCCTGCCTTTTTTCCTCATTGTTTTATTATTATTCTTCTTCTTCTTCTGGCTCCGTGGCCTCTCTCGCTCCTCTCGCGGGGTGCCCCCCCCGCTTCTCCTTTATCCCTCGTCTCTCCCCGCTCGTGGGGGGCGCGGGCGGGGGGGTGGAGATGAGCGCGAGGCTGGGTGGGCAGCGAACGCAGACCGACAGCCCGCTCCCGCGCGCCCGCATACGGGGACATGAAGTACCCCAGCAAAGGACTGCCCACCTCCGCTCCCTCTCTCCCCCGTGTTTTTTGTGTGTGTATATATATATATAATATATATATATAATATATATATATATTATATATATGTCCCCTCTCAGGGGTGACGTGAGAAAGCGACTCCGTTTTCGTTTTCGTTTAGTGGCCCATGGTGTTCCTTATGCGGGCCGAGGGAGAGACCCCCCCTATAAGTCTGACAACGCGGGGTGCAAAGTGCACCACCTGCGCGCGCCGATCCTAAGCCTTGCAAGCTTGCGTCAGGACCTGGATCGCATGGTGAGACCGCCGCCGCCGCCCCCCCCTCCTCCTCCTCCTCGGGTCGCTTACGGCCGTGGAGAACGTGCGAGCGGAATGCCTGGGCCTCGAGGCTCTCTTGGGGCCGGAGCGTGTCCGGTCGTGGGCGAGAGGGCCTTCTCGCCGTCGTTGGCCAGCTTGCTGGCCGCGCTTGGAGGGCTTCTCCGAAGGGCTTCGGCGGCCCGTCCCCCTCCTCCTCCTCCTCCTTTTCTCCTCCTCCTTCTCCTCCTCCTCCTCCTCGTCCTCCTCCCCCTCCTCTTCCTCCTCCTCCTCCTCCTCCTCCTCCTGTTCCCCCTCCCCCTCCGCTTCCTCTGGTTGCCTACGGCCCCGGGGGGGGCCGTGCAGGTTCCCTTTGGCGCTCAGCTTCGCAGAAGAGTTTGTGGCGCCGTTTGGAGAAACAGCCCCAGACATGCGACGTCCTGATTTTTTCGGGGCGGCGTCCCTGGAAATCCCGACCCTTTGCCCGTGGCCGGTTTTGCGTCTTCTGTGGAGGCGGATGTTTCCCGGCGATGCGCGCCGCCTTTCTCCAGAGTCGCCATTGGCACCTTTCCTGGGGTGCGTTTTTTGGCCAGAGCTCCGAGGGGGGCTCTGGCTTTGGCGGCGACGAGCAGCTTCTCCCGGGAGCCGGATACGGGCGAGACTCGCCCAAGCACCGTGATACTCGAAGTCCGGGAATTCCATCGGAAATCCGTCGGGTTCCTTCAGAAATCCATCGGATCCGGAGGAAGTCTATCGGATCCTTTAGGAAACCCATTGGATTCCGCGTGCAATCCATGGAATCCCCTTGGGATCCCATCGTGTTCCTGTAGGACATACAGAAGCTTGCTCCCTTAGGACATCCATCGGTTTCCTTTGGACATCCACAGGATTATCGCTTTCTTATTCGTCATTTTTGCCGATCGGCGCGGGCCCTCGCGCCCCCCCCCCCCCTATGGAGTAGATTTTGGCTGTTTTTGGCTCCTGTCTCGAGCAGGTGGGCTCGCGCTGCTGCAAACAGTCGCACGAAGCTGAGGTCTGGAGCCAGATCCCCCCACCCCCCCCCACCCTTCCGCGCAATGTCGAAAGGCCGAATAGCAAAAAACGCTCACATCCCCGATCCCCTGGAGGGGGGGGGGGCTTCGGGCAATAAGTCGGGCCTCCGGCTGCCGTTCGGAGCTATTCGGACACCCCTAGAGCGTTCTCGGCGAGGCGTAGCTGCTGGGGAGCGCGCCGAGGCGAGAGACGACGCGCCAAGAACCAACCACTTGCGACTCTATAAAACCATCGTCGTCGTCACTCCGAGGCCCCAGAGGTCCAGACCCCTTCCCTGGGGCCAGTTTCGCTTAGGATCCTTTTTCGATGGCCCAGGGGCCCAGAGCGGCCCCCCCCCCGGAGGTCTGCCCTGGCGCGCTCCGCGCACCAGGGAGTCGAGCGGGGCTAGGACGAGGGGAAATCTGTTCCATAGAGTGCCGGAACTCTTTCAGAGGGGTCCGGAACGCTCTGAGAAGGCCGCGGCGCCCGAGACATCTTCCACAGCCGCTGAATTTTAGAGATTCTTGATTTTCCCTTACCCGATTTTGTCCTGGTCGTGGCTTCGTCTTGGTGAGGGGGTCCAGCGCCGACCCAAGACGCCCGCGCGGGCCCCCCGAGCTCCACCTATGAATGGGGGGCGCCCAGGCCGAGGAAGGCGAGGAGGAGGGCGAGGAGTGCGAGGAGGAGGTCCGCAGCCATTTTGGTTCAAGGCTAAACGTTGTGAAGGGCTATAGACGCCCGAGAACCAGCGATTAGCTTTGGACCCCTCCGTGGCCTGTCTGGCCCAGGCAGGTTTGGGGCATCGCCCGTGGTCTCCCATCTGGGCCATTCGTTTGGCCAAGGGACCGTTCCCTTTCCCCTTCACCACGATTTCGCCCACAGTTTCTCTCGTGAAAGGCAGTCCTGCAGACTCAACGGTTCTGCGAAGGACGACGCGATGGCGGCTACGCATACGGGCGTTGCTAATAGTGGTGGTCGCGCTCTTGGCGGTGGCAAAGGAGCCAGTTCCCTGCTTGCAAGATTCCCCGCGGAAGCGAAACTCAGACAGCAGAGTACATCGAGGGCGATCGAGAGTCCCAGGAGCCACCGAATACCTTCCCCGAGGGAGAGCAGCAGGCACATGAGCTTCGTTGCTACATCGGCGATGTCCAGCGCTCACTAGTGGAATCGATCCACTCGATCAAGGGACAAGTCGGAAGTTTGGCGCAGACAGTTCAGACAGCATGCATTTCCATGGGTGCACAGGTGGAACGTCGTATGGGTGCAGTCGAGAACCGCCAGGCGAAGATGGAGACACACGTATCGCGGATGGAAGAACGCATTCAACAAGTGGAAGCAACTCTGGGGATCATGGCCCAAGACAAGCCGCATATCCAGATCGACACAGGCTTCAACCGTGAGCCCAACCGCACCATCATCGTAGCGAGATGCAAGTCTATGGTGCAGAAGCAGCAGATTGGCAGTGCGATCGAGGAGTGGGTGGCAGCACCGAACCTTCCTTCTTCCTCTTATGATATCGTCGGAGAGCCCGCAGCGAAGCGCCTCGACATTCAATTTGGCGGCACTTCGGCACTGGCCGCGAGGAGGGCTACTCAGGCGCTCATGTGCCTCAATCGTGGCCCGAACGACTGGCGCAGGTTCAAGGTCTCAGACGTGGACGGTTAGCCCCAGGAGCTGCGCATTGGACCCGACAAGTCGACGGCCCAGATTCGGACGGAGATCACGCTCAAGCAGATCAAGAAGCACATGTTGGGCCTTTACCCTACCAGCGAGTTCTATATCAACAAGCAGCGCGGCGAGATCTCATGCCAGTGGAAGCCAGTTCTTCGCATTCAGGCGTTTGCTGACCAGCCCGTGCAGATCGAGTACGCGACAGACAACATCGCAACCCTCCAGATGTCAAGGGCAGACATCGAGCAGGCCATCAGCCCCGCGCTTGTCGCCCCGCAGCAGCAGGCAGTTCAGTGGAGTGTTTAGCGCGGTGATCCGCTCTTGGGCAGGCAAGTCTTCCTCGCGTCCTCCCTCGTCTTTTTCCTCCCCGTCCCCTTCGGCTTCTGCGTCGACTCCTCGTTCGACTTTGGCGCTTTCTTCGGTGTCGTGGAATGCTCGGGCGTTATTCCACTTCGACCTGAAACTATCCTGGTGAAGGACCCAACCATATGCAATTGTGAATACTGCAATTGTAAATATCTTCTCGGTGGAGCCCCCTACGGGGCCACGAAACGTACGAGGGGTGTGCCGAAATGTGTGTGCGGGACGCATGCGGGCACACCCACTGGGGCCTTCGGTGGAGCTCCCTATGGGGCCGCGAAACGTGTGAGGGGTGTGCCGAAATGGGTGTGGGTGACGCATGCGGGCGCACCCACTGGGGCCTTCGGTGGAGCTCCCTATGGGGCCACGGAACGCGTGAGGGGCGTGCCGAAATGGGTGTGGCTGACGCATGCGGGCGCGGGCACTGGGGCCTTCGGTGGAGCTCCCTATGGAGCCACGAAACGTGTGAGGGGTGTGCCGAAATGGGTGTGGCTGACGCATGCGGGCGCGGGCACTGGGGCCTTCGGTGGAGCTCCCTATGGAGCCACGAAACGTGTGAGGGGTGTGCCGAAATGGGTGTGGCTGACGCATGCGGGCGCGGGCACTGGGGCCTTCGGTGGAGCTCCCTATGGAGCCACGAAACGTGTGAGGGGTGTGCCGAAATGGGTGTGGGTGACGCATGCGGGCGCGGGCACTGGGGCCTTCGGTGGAGCTCCCTATGGAGCCACGAAGCGTGTGAGGGGTGTGCCGAAATGGGTGTGGGTGACGCATGCGGGCGGCAGCACTGGGGCCTTCGGCGGAGCTTCTACTATGGGGCCACGAAACGTGTGAGGGGTGTGCCGAATTGTGTGTGGGTGACGCATGCAGGCGGCAGCACTGGGGCCTTCGGCGGAGCTCCTATGGGGCCACGAAACGTGTGAGGGTGTGCCGAATTGGATGTGGGTGACGCATGCGGGCGGCAGCACTGGGGCCTTCGGTGGAGCTCCCTATGGAGCCACGAAACGTGTGAGGGGTGTGCCGAAATGGGTGTGGGTGACGCATGCGGGCGCGGGCACTGGGGCCTTCGGTGGAGCTCCCTATGGAGCCACGAAACGTGTGAGGGGTGTGCCGAAATGGGTGTGGGTGACGCATGCGGGCGCGGGCACTGGGGCCTTCGGTGGAGCTCCCTATGGAGCCACGAAACGTGTGAGGGGTGTGCCGAAATGGGTGTGGGTGACGCATGCGGGCGCGGGCACTGGGGCCTTCGGTGGAGCTCCCTATGGAGCCACGAACGTGTGAGGGGTGTGCCGAAATGGGTGTGGGGACGCATGCGGGCGCGGGCACTGGGGCCTTCGGTGGAGCTCCCTATGGAGCCACGAAACGTGTGAGGGGTGTGCCGAAATGGGTGTGGGTGACGCATGCGGGCGCGGGCACTGGGGCCTTCGGCGGAGCTCCCTATGGAGCCACGAAACGTGTGAGGGGTGTGCCGAAATGGGTGTGGGTGACGCATGCGGGCGCGGGCACTGGGGCCTTCGGTGGAGCTCCCTATGGAGCCACGAACGTGTGAGGGGTGTGCCGAAATGGGTGTGGGTGACGCATGCGGGCGCGGGCACTGGGGGCTTCGGTGGAGCTCCCTATGGAGCCACGAACGTGTGAGGGGTGTGCCGAAATGGGTGTGGGTGGCGCATGCGGGCGCGGGCACTGGGGCCTTCGGTGGAGCTCCCTATGGAGCCACGAAACGTGTGAGGGGTGTGCCGAAATGGGTGTGGGTGACGCATGCGGGCGCGGGCACTGGGGCCTTCGGTGGAGCTCCCCATGGAGCCGCGAAGCGTGTGAGGGGTGTGCCGAATTGGGTGTGGGTGACGCATGCGGGCGCGGGCACTGGGGCCTTCGGTGGAGCTCCCTATGGGGCCACGAAGCGTGTGAGGGGCGTGCCGAATTGGGTGTGGGTGACGCATGCGGGCGCGGGGAGCGGGAGGAGTGAACGCGGGGCGCTGTCTTTTCAAAACGAGGGCCCAACACCGCAGGATGGTTGGGAAACAAAACGATCCAAAAAACTTAAGTCTCTAGCCAACCTCGTTCGACCAGGGAGCATCGTGGGAACCCGGGGGTCTCGCGGTTCGTCGCGCGAAGTTCAGGACTTTATCTACAACTCGAATCTGACAATGCAAGCCGAGATGTCGTTCGTTCCCGCTTCTTCGCATCATCCTGTTGGATGGGGTTGTCACTTTCTTTCCAGATTTCAGTGCGCCTGGTTTTACTGGGCCGCCGCGGGTGGCGCCGGAGGTTTTGATCACGGGTCGGGCCCTCGCAATGTCTTTTATCTTCCAGGGGCATGTGTCTATCATTCACTACAACGCACGCGACTTCGGGATAATTGCTAGCTCCAGGGATACAGTTATCGAGCAGATCTTAACCGACGCGACGCTCGCCCAGCGGGCGCCAGACTCGATGCTGGTGGTAGTGCACGGCGATCTCGATTTAGCCGAGCAGCCTCCGACGATTTTGAACGTTGGCAGCTCCATGAGGGACGGGGCGCCCACCCGTCAGGCGGTCGCTCGTGGCCAGGAGTGGAGGAGGGGAAGGGCTACGGGATGGGCTAGATTATTTTGTGCCATGGTGGCGGTGGAGGGGGTGATTTCACGCAGTATTGCGCGTCGCAGAACACGTTGTCGAATATCGACCGCGCCTTTGTCAGCATGCCTTGCTGGGCCATTGTCCAGAGTTCTTTCGCCTGCAGTGTCGAGGGACTCCCTGAGGTTCTACATAGGACCAAAGTATCGGACCATGCTGCTCACTGCTTTTCGATCCTGGGCCAGAAGTCGGTTCCTCTTGAAAATCGCCCGATTCCGCCCGAGATCTTCGAGGGGGAAGGGTACAGGGAGTTCCTTGCTAGGACTTTGGGGAGGGTAGATTGCTCGGCGTTATCGGTTCCGCTCAGGCTGGCGTTTCATAAACAACTTACGCGTGAAGCTGCTCGCCACGCCCGTGACCTCATAGTATCCAAGAATCCCAAGGATCCCCTGACCCTGTCCCTGGTTATCAAGTCCATGGGGCGAGCTGCGTGGAAGCAGGGCTACAATCTAGCCGAGAAGCTTCAAAAGTCACATCCGCTAGGTGCCCGCTATTTACACTTGCTTCCGCTGGCGGGCAAAGTTGAGCTTGTCGACCCTGGAGGCTTTTTGACCTACTCCAATGAGCTGAATTTCAGGCTCAACCAAGACGCATCGCGGAGAGTGCGTCGGCAGATGGATGAACCATCACCAGAGAAAGCGCAAGCGAAGCTTCGGAGAAAGCTAAGGGGATTGGAGCGGCGTGGTCGAATATGGCTCCCTTTCGGTCGTCGAGTGTGTCTCCAGGGGATCAACTTACCTAGCGGAGAGGTTCTTACGGAGCCCCAGCGCAGTCTTGATGAGCTTGCATTTCACTGGGGGAAGGTTTTTAGTGAGAAGCCGATCGAGACCCAGGCCGCAAAACTGTATTTGGAAAGACTCGGGATCAAGCGCGATTCCATGAACATCAAGCCCCCCGATCAGACCCATATCGAGTCCCTCCTGAGGAAGCTCCCCAAAAGTGCACCTGGGCCTGACGGGCTGAAATATGCTGCCTGGGCACGGCATCCTCAAGGTCACCGCATACTGGCCGATGTTCTCTTCTGGATTCTAGCTGGAAATCAAATGCCGTTCGATTTCAACGACGCCCGCGGGGTTTTCATAGCCAAAGGTGAGGCCCGGAATGGCTCCGCCCTGGTCTCCAGGGGGGCATCGAACACTCGCCCCCCAGGCCTCAAGAACGCCGATGCGAAGGTTATCACCCATGTTGCCGTCAGGAGCTTCACCTTGGCTGCCCCAGCCGCGGTGGGCCCCAGCCAGCGCGGGTTCGTGGTGGGCCGCAACTTCGGCCTGAATATATTTTAACTGGACGCTGCTGCCAGAGCCGTGGGATTGAATCCTGAAGCATTGAGTCGTCTGCCTCTCCTTGTCTCCTTTGACAATTCCCAAGCCTTCCCCTCTATTGCTCACGACTGGCTTCGTCTTGTTTTGGGGTCTCTCCAGATCCCCGCCCCCTCCTCCATCTTCTCAAGATCATACACTCTCATGTTTTCTGTTATGGAATGATTGGCGCCCAGGTCCAGGTCTTATGCTATAGGTTAGCGGGGATAATCCAGGGTTGCCCAGCCTCAGGGGTAATTGATCGTCTAGCATCTCATCTTTTTGTGGCACGCTTCCGACGCCTGGTGATCGATTCGGGGGCTGGGGTGGTTCGGGCTTGTGCTGACGACGCGGGGGCTGTTGTGTATGCGATTCAATCCCTGGCTCGGTTGTACGAGGCGCCTATCTTCAAGTATCAGGATCGCACCGTACGTTTGGCCGAAGCTCGTGCCCCCCCCCCCCCCTCCTTGACCGCCCTCTCGCGCGACAGTCGCGCCCTCGCCACCCTCTCATATGTGAGCCAATTTCAATTGTTGCCGGCTTGGCATCAGAAGAGAGAGCACGCCAATCTAGCGATGATTTGGGGCGTGCCACACTGCGCTCTAAAGTTCAGTGGATTCCTCGCGCTTGCCAGCTGGGGCGGGCCTAGGTTCCGCAGTGCTGTAGTAACTAATATTGCTGCACTAATTAGATGCCCCCCTCAGCACTTTTGTCGAATGGGCT